TGCAGATATCTCTGTGGAAATTAAATCTCACAATGTTCTAGAATGATTTATTTCACAATTTGTGAGTTACTTGGTACTCATGACAGACTCTAGCACAGAACAAAACTGATGGTCAAATAAATGAAATCTGGAGGGGTAACATTTGAGCAGCAGACACTAAAGGGGGAAGTTTAATTTTAAAATTGTTGAATATTAAATAACAGAAGTGTTGTTAGATGTTGAGAATTGGTCTTCCTAAGGCAGGTCAGGGTTGAAATACGTGTGTGTGTGTGTGTGTGTGTGTGTGTGTGTGTGTAATTCAGCTGATACACTGTGAATTAGGTACCCAGAAAGCATCAACTTGACACCCCTCATTTGTAATAGAGCTCATGTACCACCCAGTGACTGTGGGTGTACATCTGGAAGCTCCCCGAACACCAGACCCTAAGAAACCTTGCAGGAACTCAGCTGTAGCCCACATCTAATATTTTCATGTACTGTTAGATCAGCAGGAGCTGTTGTACCTAGAGACCCATAACATTCCAGTGTTCTCACTGTTTCTAGCTTCTCTGTCCTCCCCTACTCCAAATGTGCCCAATGGCTCTGATCATACCTGTGCTTTGAAGTACTTCATACTTCAGGTAATTCAAAGGAGCAGTGGGGCAGGTAACTAGATCATGTGGGGTTTGACTCTAGAACAGCAGTCCCCAACACTTTTGGCACCAGGGACCGGTGCTCCTCTGAGAATCTAATGCCTGAGGCTCTGAGGTGGAGATGAAGCAGTGATGCTAGTGCTGGGGAATGGCTGAAAATACAGATGAAGCTTCGCTCACTTGCCCACCACTCACCTCCCGCTATGTAGCTCGGTTCCTAACAGGCCACAGACCAGTACCGGTCTGTAGTTCGGGGTTGGGGACCCCTGCTCTAGAAGATAATTTCCTCATAGAATAATGACATCTGACTCAAAACTTTCAATGTAGTAGATCTAGATAGGATCCAGCTCTGTTGTCCTAGAACTTTTCCCTGCTTTTTATGATACTGTAGAGGATATTGCTACCTCTAGGTGGTACTCAAGACTCAGTGAAACCAGCTCTATCAGCTTGCTGATAAGTTTTTACAAATTTGCTAGTGGTGGAGTTGGCAAGTCTCTGTCATACTTACTGCTCAAGTGAAAGCTACTCTTAGGATATTTTAGATCAAGATTTTGTCCTTCATGCTGTTAATTAATTAAACAAGGAGGCCATTAGACCGAAGTGGTTCTAATGCCTTGGCAGCCTACATAGGCAAACCAAAAACTAAGCCTGTGAATGCCTCAAGGTTATGAAATGGAAACCTAAGGGCAAGCAATCACAAACAGCCAACAGGCTTTTCCATATAAGGCAAACTTAAGCTACAGCCAAATAATTTCCTTGCTTTACTTCAGTGTATTCTCTATAATGTGGGAGGAGCACTGTTAACCATTTACGATTTGTGCTCAAATAAATTCTTAACATTTTCAAGTATGCCACAGTTTATCTTTTAACAGTGCTTTTCAGCAGTGATTCTCAAAGCGTTGTCTGAAGACCACTTACATCAAAATCACCTGAGGAACTTGTTTAAAATGTATTTGGGGACAAAGCAGTTTTCTACTAGGACTTAAGAATCTTCATTTTACCCAACTCTTCAGGTGCTAATAATACACGTAAATTTTGAGAATGATTGCTCTGTTGGTTAAACACTGTGACTTCATCAGAGTACTCATTCAAACATTTGAAAAGATCATAAAGTTTCCCTTCACAAGCCCAAAGCAGATAAAAGATGGCCCTCTACATGGACAGCAAGGTGTGATCTTCACAGCAAGTGCTATTTTATGACTTTCAGCTAGTAGCCACAACACGTGAATCTCTTCAGGATAGTTTCATCTTGATCTCTCACTAGAAAAAGACTTTGATTTTGATTTTATTTCATCTGAATTCCATTCACTGCTATGTCTCAGTACTCAGCACAAGGCCCAGCTTAATAAGGCTGCTTAATAAAGATTCCTTTTACAGTGGTTAACTATTATCTTCTTCTCTGCCTGGTGCCCCCTCTCTAATTTTCCTGGTTGTCATTGCTTTACTCCATTTTCATGAGCCTATGTGGAGGAGGCAGATAAGCACTTTCCTTTGGGCATCCCAAGAGTGCAGCTCTGTGGAAAACACTTGAATTCTGGTATAGATAAGGTTGTGCTCATCTGGATGCTAGACTGGGTGTGGAGAGTACAGCAAGGCAGGTGTGATGGAACTGGGAGAGTCGAGTGTTGCAAAGGGTTCAATAGGAGGGGGTTAACAGAACCACATCTGTAAGTTGTTTTGAAATCTGTGTCAGTAAAATTTACCTTTTACCAATATTCTTTTAAGTAAACTGATAGTTCTTTGTTCTGTATAAGTATAGAGGAGGACTCAGAGGGTGTTGAGAGCATTTGATGAGGAGAACACTGAAATAATACAGGAGAGTTTGGTTGAAAGAACACAGCCTCTGTGACTGATTGAGAATCAGTCCCAATGCAGAAGCCGAATTCAACAGAAGACAGAACTGGATTCTAGATTGTTTGAAATCTCTGTTCAAGAAAACAAACAAACAAACAAACAAACAAAAAAACCCCCAAAACTTCCTGATTGCTTTCTTTTGAATAAGGTGTTGTTTTATTTTACCATGGCTTCTTAGTGAGATATCTTAAGATGTAATTCTTCTGTGCTTGACTAAAATAAAGGAATGTGCTGATTTGTTGAAGGAAAAGGAAGGGTTAATGCATCCAAATCTGGGTGGCTGAGCTTCTGAACTTTTTACAGTTGACGTATGTGCAGGATGAGGAAGAGAATATTTCTCTCCATTTACTCATCAGCAAGCAGCTTCTGGGCCAGGGTGAGAGCCAGTCTGAAAAGGTGTTTTCCATAAGAGAAAAATTCCCTTACCTTATGTCCTTCCTTCTGGTTCTGAGAGTCCTTGTATATTTTATGATTATAGCAAATGCACATTTAAGGAAGACCTCTTCTCCATGTTGACATCAATTTTTCTCCACATCATTTTTATACATTTGGGGGAAGACTTTGTTGCTTTTATTGTGATTTTATGTCAGACCCAGAGCAGCCTAAATTCTACCCTGTCCATCATCCCAACTCCTGAGGGCTCCCAAGGAAACAATGTGCTCCAGGAAGAATAGCAAACTTTGAGCCCAAAGTACCACTTCGTTTGTAAAAGTTACACCCAATAAAATTCCATCATGGGCTCACTGGTAAAAAATGAGCTGGAAAATAATCTAGGCCTACCTTGTTTCCCTCTCAGAACCCCAGATGTAAATTGAGGACCTGTGTGTTCAGGCATGAAATAGAGGTGGGGAGAGGTGTTTGGACCCCATGTGGGGACTCCAACCAGACACAAACAGAAGAAGACTAATCAGGGCCAGGCTGGATGGAAGGGAGCTTCCTTCCAGCCTGGCCCTGAGTTCTATCCCTTCAGGGCACACTGCCCTTGGTAAGATATGGGCCAGTGAACTCTTTGGGCTCTGATCATATCGACCCTTCTTCCTCTGAGGAGGGTGGGGAAACAAAAGGTACTGGTTAAGGCAAAATCATGGGGAGAAAAGCCGTAAGTGTTTTTTCTCTGGGGTTTGCCATTGTTGTCATTGTAATTGCCATCATAATCTATAGCAGCATAATTTTATTGAGTCATTGTTTTAACCCAGGCACTGTGATAAGGTCTTCTGAGGATATGTTTGTTAAGATGAACAGGACCTTTTGTAAAATTTAAAAAGGACCCAACGATCCTGCTTGGAGTAGAGTTAGGAGAACATAAATCATGCAAAGTAGAATATGAAAAGGATTTTAATAGAATTTGAAGTATATGAAGTTCCAGAGGAGAGAAATTCTTTTGGCTGGGAAGGCTTGAAGTGGCTTCATGAAGGGCATGCTATTTTGTCTGAGCCTGAAGGACAACTGGAATTTTGATAGAAATGGGAAAGATGGGCCTGTTGGAACAGCATAAGTAGGAATTGCAAAAGCATAGTGTGTTTGGTGGAATGGTGAATTTCAAATGGACTAGAGTTAGATGGCCAGTAATTGCAGGGGCCAGGACTAGAAGCTAGTTGTTACAACTTTCTGTGTAATGTTCTCTTCATCTCTACCATACTTTTTGTAGCCTAGGGTATTACCCTATTGGACAGGAAGCCACATGCAACTTCTCCAGCCATAAACTCCTCTTTACGAGGCTTTTCCTTTTTGTCTCCTTCTCCATGTACTTGTAGAGAAACACATTCATAAGGATTATGGTGGCCTATTCCCTTCATGTTCTTCATACCCAGAGAATCAACTCTAAGTTTAGCCTCTCTTCTCTCTTTACCAAGTGGATGGCAGAGCTTTCTTTCATAAGAAACAAAGAGAACACATGAGTGGGACAGTGTGGGGTCTGCTTAGGTGCTCAGATGAGACAGTC